AAATTATACGTATGTACAAGCAGACATGCGAGGGAGAAAGGGAGATGGCCATCGACAGTTCCAATACGGCTCCAAGGCGGAAGAGGGGGAGGAGGAGCAGGACAAGGAGGAAAGGAGAGAAGCGAGAAAGGAAGAACGCAGACGGCGCGGCTCTGGACACAAAGGGGTGCCATACTTTCTCCTGCTTTCGCAAACAGGTCCAGTCACACGTAGGGGTATACTCAACCGAATGGTCTTCGCATCCAGAAGCATACTAAAGGCGCGACGCATCGTCGTCTGCGATGGCGCGGAGCGGGCGCGTGGGTGCCCGGCTGCCTGGCTGATACACGTGCGGGCCTGGCTGATACCCGTGCGGTCCCAGATGCCCAATGAGATTGCCGATACGCCTGCTGGCGGGAAGGCCGGTGTTGCCAAGTGCTACCGCGAGCACGGTGTGTTTCCTATGAATCCGCAAGAGCGCGCGGAAGGACATTTTGACAATTTTTTCTTAAAAAACCATTGGGTTTTTGATGTTTTTATGTTAAAATCGCTACGAAACCTAAGGTTTTGGAAGGATTTCGTCTTGCGCGCGCGAATGTCCACTTTACCTTATTTTTTGCAAGGGATTCTTGAAATTTGATCAACTAAGAACAAGAATTTTCATTTTCTATTGTTTTTTGCAAGGGAAAACGAGCGTCAACAAAAAACCGGATCCGGGGGTAATCCACTTTTCTGAAGCTTTCGCAGAAAATGATGAAAATGTAGCTGCGGCCTAGGTTTTGGGCGGGGGGGCGTGCACCAGGGGGTCCAACAATAATAATTCTTTAGAAGTAATAATGTTCAACAACAACAACAACAATCATTTAAGACTGGGGACACTCCGTTCTCACCAGTGCCAGGGTTTTCATAGGAGGCGGGCAATACCCCCACTTTGTGGGGGGGCCGGTTCAAGCTCTACCAAATTTCCAAACGACTCTTCGCCACCACCCACACCCAGCTTCCCGCCCTATGACGTTCGGACACTTCACTTCGTGGCATGCGGACGACCGTGGCTACTATTCAGGGCCCCGCGGCCGACGACGACGGCGTGCGCGCGCGAAGAAAAAACGAATGTGTCCCGCATGGTATTATTTGACAGGGATGATGGCCCTGGCAGGTGCGCAACCGTTGTCGCAGAAGTTCGAAAAAGTTGCTCGCAAAAGCCCGTTTGACAGAAATGTTTAAAAAGTGTTGGGTTTCCTACGAATCCGCAAGAGCGCGCGGGATGAGATTTTGACATTTTTTTGTTGAAAAACCATTGGTGTTTTGATGTTTTTATGTTAAAATCGTTCCGAACACTAAGCTTTTGGAAGGATTTCGTCTTGCGCGCGCGAATGTCCACTTTACCTTATTTTTTGCAAGGGATTCTTGAAATTTGATTATATTAGAACAAGAAATGTCATTTTATAGTGTTTTTTGCAAGGGAAAGCGGGGGGGAACAAAACAACCGGATCTTGATCACATCGAATTACCTGAGGCTTCCTCACGAAAATGATGAAAATGTAGCTGCGGCCTAGGCGGCGCAGGGGGGCCGTGCACCAGGGGCCCCAACAATAATTATTCTTTAGAATTAATAATGTTCAACAACAACAACAACAACAACAACAAAAACGTCGGGGCCTGAGAAGGCGAAGAAGGTTGGCAGAGCGAGGAGGAGGGAAGGGAGGGAGTTTGGCATCTTTGACATTTTCGCTGGGCCCTCAGGAGTGTGAAAATTAGATAGGCGAGGATGTGATATTTAGGGTGATAATGAATGAGATGTCCCTTCCGCCCTACTCACGTTTTAGCCTGAGTACGCAGATAAGAAGATGAATGTCCTATCTTACATCGTGCTTGCATCAAGTACTGGTGGGAGGGATATTGTGATTTGCATTTACACTGGTAGCCTGGAGCTGGATCAGTTCTACGGTTGCGAGATTCATATTGAGAGTGGCCGTGCAGATAAATGCTGGCGCTCAAGACTCTCGTAGTGCTTCACCACTCTGTACTTCCTTCAGCGATCAACACGCTGAACATCATCACCTGCAGCCTGGCCGAGAATCGTTGCCACGACCCGGACAGCAGCAAGGATAACGATATCTACTACGAGCTGGACGGAGACGCCATCTTCAGAGACGGCGACGCCATCAGAGACGGCAACATCATCACCACAGACAAGTTGGCGACCAGGCAACAGCAGCCCAACGACGGACCCCTCTTCGGAGGACAAAGAGGGCGTCGTACACTACAACGGCGACCCAGCCTACGGCGAGGAGTTCGAGGAGCGCGCGATCCTCGGCTACTATGCGAGCGAAGAGAAGCTGCAGAAGCTCTACGCGATCAAGCTCACGAATTCTTTAAATGGGCGAGCGTGGAACCTCACGAGGAAAAGGGCCGAGATTGCGACGCAAGAAGTGTTGGACAAAGCAGGTGAAGACCCACTTGCTGCAGTGAAGCTGGTGGTGGCAACAGCACGACAAGCGTGCGAGCGGATCGCCCCACTACAGAAGCAGCAAGCTTTCGAGGAGTATGGCTTCAAAGGTTTTCGTAACAGGTCGGAGTCTGTGCAGGACTACATCCCGAGGCGGGAGACGGAGTATGAGCGGTTCAAGTCTCGATCAGCAAATACGACAGTGAGCGAAGACCTGCGGACGTACTTCCTACTAAAGTAGACCAATATCAGCATGACCGAGCACAAGTCTATTCTCGGGCAATGCAACAAGGAGTACATATGGGATGACGTGACGGCGCGGATGCTCATCCAGCTGGACACGACGTGCAGAGACGAACGTGGTCACGGACGTTAGGGAGCATACCCGGCGAACTACGACGATGACGAGGAGGAAGCCCTACTCGGATACGAGTGTGGCGTGTGCGACGAGGACGGGCTTCTGAGCGATGATGATTACGACGCGCTGGCAGTCGACATCGACGAGTTCGAGGGGGTGATTGACGACGTCGACCCCGAGGAGATCAGCCAGGAGGAGTGTGACACTCTAGCGGCTGAGGCACAGCGTCTCGGGTGGAAGGCTGGACGGAAAGGTCACAAGCCCAACTACAAGCAAGCCCAGGAGAGGCTTGCACAGAGCAAGTCCAATCGAGGCTGGAAGGCCAACATCAACAAGCAAGGATCCATCAAGATGGACGGCA